TGTGTGTGTGTGTGTGTGTGTGTGTGTGTGTGTGTGTGTGTGTGTGTGTGTGTGGTGGGGAATGAGGGTTCCGATGTAGGCCTGGGTCCGGTGATGAGCTGGGTGTAGTTTCATAAGGGCAGCACCCAGCTCAAGCTGCCCACCAACAGGAAGTGGTAGGCAGTTTGGTTTTGCTTCTTGCTTGGGAAGCCCCACCACCACCACTGTGGCCCTCCCAGCAAGTGGCAGAACTACAGCTGCTGCCAAGGATACTAGGGGACCCCCACCTGCCCTGGGCAACACAGATGGGAGTTGGAGGGCCTCCTTCAGGGCCAGGGAGGACACACCCTTGAGGGGCAAGGCGTGTGGAGTCTCCTGGGACAGCACCGTCAGCTCAAGTGGGGGTAGAGGCGATGCTGACTACACGGTGTGAGCCACGGTCAGCAGAGGCCTCCCCTGCTTGGTGCTGGAAAGTTCACAGCCATCAAGTCCACAGCTGCTCCTTCAAGTGGATGCAGAGACGTGGTGATAAAATACTTGGAGGACAGAGTTCCCACTGAAGCTGGACAGACATGCCTCTGACTCTTACGACCAGTCAGTGAGGTGGATGTGTCTTACTTCACTCTCTGGGCCTCAAGTTCTTATCTGAACAATGGAGCTGATGTGGGTGGGCAGGGGATGGTTGTGAGGGTCAGATGAGCTCACATGTGGGAAGCCCCTAGGCTAGTGCCTGGCACCCAGGCAGCGCTCAGCAGGCGCTGAGTGAAGAAGGCTTGGCATCCTTGGCTGGGACTGTGCCCTCTTCTGGGCCTCAGTTTCCCTTCCTGGCTACCGAGGGATCAGGTGAGAGGTTGCCCACATGCTGATGTGGGAAAACATAGCAGTTGAAAGTGCCAGCTTTGGAGCCAATCCCAGCACTAGCTGTGAACTTGGGCAGGTTATTTAGACTCTCTCTGCCTCATTTTCTTCATCTCTAAGGTGGGGGTAATAGTAATACCTACCTCGTAGGGTTGAGAGGATTAGACAAGATAGTCCTTTGAATGGGGCCCGGCGTGTAATAAGTAGTGTAGACGCGTTAGTGCCATTATCATGATTATTGTTTTCATGGTATGGATGTGGAAGCCCAGAGAAGTGGCGTGACTTGCTCAAGGTCACCCAGCTAAAAAGTGGCGCACATTAGGATCAAGGCCAAGCCTGCCGAGCCTCAAGGCCCGTGCTGTTTCCATCGCTCCCCACTGCGCCTCTTAAGTCACATGCGTCGTAAGTGGGTCAGAGGCAGCGTGTACCTGGGGGATGACACAGCAGCAGGGACAGGTATGGATTAATTCCTTGTCTTCTGCTGACACCTTGTGGAGAATGGGCCTGAAGGGAGAGGGAGGTGGGGAAGGAGGGAGGGGGCAGTGGGAGGACCCTGAAACTGGACCCTATGAACCAAGGAAGGGGATGAGGGAGAGGGTTGAACATGATCTAGCCCCTGCCCCTGGGGAGCTCTTGGCCTGTTGATGGGACAGACAGGGACACAGCTGAGACCACCCCAAAGTACTCAATGGGGGCCCTGAGAGCACAGCACACAGACCCTGTCCGAATCCCAGTGCTCAGCTAGGGCAGCAAGGCAGGCTTCCTGGAGGAGTGGCACTTGCAGATGAGACAAGAGGGTGTCTGGCAGGGGGAAGTGTAGCAGGCAGTAGAGATTGGTCTGGAATGGTGGAAGAGACTGAACAGGGGACACTAAAGCTGTAGAGAGGCAGTGCAGGGTAGTGGTCAGAGCGTGGCTGGACCTGAGGGTGTGGGGGCACACGGGGGGCCCAAACCCACCCCACTGTGGCTGTGCCCCTGACCCAGCCCACTACCTACCTACCCATGGCAACTCTGAGGCCCAAGGGGCAGGGATGAGCCAACTCCCAGCAGTCCCTGGGCACGGGAGGAAGGAGGGAGGGAAGGATGGCTCACAGCTGCCAGTCAAGCTCCCAGGGGATGCAGAAACCGCCTGAAGTGACCTGGCAGGGCCAAAGCCTGATGTTGGAGGATTGCACATGTGTACACACGTGTGCCTGCACACATGCGGCCGCCCACCTCTGCAGCCCTGGGGGAGTCCACGCATCAGGAGAAGCAGGTCAGGAGAGCGGCCCAGTGGCCCTCCTGGTGGGGGGTGGAGAGTTCAAGGCAAAGGGGCTGTGTACTCCCCAGAGCCCCTCAGGGACAGCCCCACACTCTCCACAGGAAGGACCCAAGGACACGCTGGCCCGAGGGTGCTCATGCAGACACGGCCTTCTCTCTTCTTGTGGCATCACAGCAGATTGCCTCGGTGTTCCCACACGGGGTCCTCATCACCGAGGCGGTGGGTAGGCCTTGGCAGGGATTGGCAGAGGAGATCCCGTCCAGCCCTGCACCCACGGAAAGACAGCCACAGAGAGGTATTGCTCCACGTCAGCCCAGTTGGCAGCTGCAGCAAAGAGAGCCCAGTACCATCCAGCCAAGTGGGGACTGCAGGAAGATTTGGTGACAGGTGTTGTGCCAAGTTTATCCAACCCACTGAGGGCAGAAAGGAAGGGAAGCAGGACTGGGTTTCCATGTGCCTGGCACCATTCCCGCCTCCTGGGGGGGGGTGTGAAATGGGCTAGTCCAGGCTACAGACTAGGCTCTCCCAGGGCAGTCATGTGGCATTTCAGAGTCCCTGGCATACATTCAGATCGAAAAGAGAGGCAGGAGCTGGGGGTGGGCAGGTTCTGTTAGAACAGGATCGAAGAGCTGGTTCGTGAATGGAGCAGAAGGGGGCCCGGGGAGGGCATGAGGGGAGGAGCAGTTTCCTAAGGGAGCAGAAGGTGGGAGCCAAGGCTTTGGGGGAGGGAGAGGAGGAGGGCTCCCTCCCCCCAAGCCAGCTGAGAGGACTGTGCAGATGGAGCTCCTGTTTGTGGCTGGGTGGGAGGCCAGGAAGTTCCCTCCTGATGTCCCTCCTCTCCCTGAGAAGTGGGAGGCTGGGTCGTGCTGAGAGAGAAGGGGAAGGCAAAGAGAGGGGAGAGGCTCTGGGCCTGGAAGGGAGTGCAGGCCATGGTGAGGGTGCTGGGCCCTTGGGGAGCTCCCCCGTCTTCATGCCTGAGAATTTATTTAATCCTCATGACGACCCATAGAAAGGAGAGACCATTCTATTCCCTTCATAGATGAAGAAACTGAGGCATGGAGATGAAGTAACCAGCCAGCAAGTGATGGAGCTGGGGTTTGAACCCAGGCTGTCTGGCTCCTGTCTGAGCCTTCTCTCAGATGGTATCTCTCAGGGAGTGGGGGACTGCAGGGCAGGCTGGGGATGCTGGGAGAGGGGGGAGGTCCGAGGGGGGTGCACCGGGAGGCAGGCTCCCCGGGCTGGCACAGACACATATGCACACCTGCATGCCCGCCTGGACAAGGCTCGTCTCCCCTCTACCCTCCTCCATTCCACAGATAGGAAATGAAGACCCCAGAGTGGTTGCAAGACAGGGGCGGGCGGGGCTGGGAACTTATAAAGGGACAAAAGGAGACTTGGGGGATGATATGTTTGTTACCTCGATCACAGTGATGGTTTCATGAACAGACATATGTCAGAACTCATCAAATTGTACGCTTTAAATATGTGTGGTTTATTGTACATCAAATAAACCTCAATAAAACTGTAGAAAAATAAAGTGAAATAAAATTTTAAAAGAAAGACATGAGAACCCCCTGGATAGGGAGAGTTGGCGCACTGGCACCACTTAGAGCTTTCAAGAGCCAGATCTCCTGCTCCCAGCCCCGGCCCCCACCCTCGTACCTCTCTGCTCCCCCAACACCTACAGGTAGACTCAAGGACACCTGTCCATTTGGAGACAAATTCAGTAGCTATGAGGGGTGCGTCCAGGCAGACCACCCCCGCTTGTGTGGACACTGAAGGGGTTGGTCCAGCTGTCAATGTGGAGGGGAGGGCTGTGTCTTTGTGGCACAGGTGCTCCGTCCTATGTCTGGAGTGGGGGCTGAGACCGCAGCTGTGCTATGGTACCTGAGTGGGACTGTATGGTCATCTGTGGTGGGGAGGCATTAGAAGGCTGTGTCAGCGTGCGCTGTACACGCGGTGGTGTCAGCATGTGGCCATACCTGCAGTCTCTGCCCTCAGTCCCCCATTCCCTGCCTTATTTTTATTTTCTCAACAGCCCATATTGCCTTTGATCATACATAATTCATGTGATCACCATATCATCGTCCATCTCCCCTGGGATGTAAGCCCCTCGAGGGCAGGAATTCTGAAGTGTCTGTTCAGTGCTCTGCCTCCAGGGTTTTGAAGAACACCTGGTAAACAGCAGGTTCTTCATTGATGCTCGTGAATGGGAACACTCCTGTGAACTCAGTGTGTGGCTGTGTCTTCGTGCAACATAAATACATGTGCCTTGCCTGACGCTGTGTGGATGACAGCAGGAGACGTGCAAGGGGCAGGGACAGTGCTGGTTCAGGCCTGACCCCCGAAGCTTTGGGGAAGGCAACAAAGATGCTTGTCGCCCCCTTGTGGTCACCTTAGGCCTGGCATCTGGGCCCCGCTGCAAGTTTCCTGGGCACTAGGGAGGCAGGAGGTGGACAGAGGAGGGGACCATGGCCTGATGTCATACACACCCCCAACAGGGAGAAGATGAGTGTGGGCTGCCCAGAGCCCGAGCCGCCCCACTCCCTGCCCTGCTGTGGGCCAGGGACTGCCCCTGGGCCGGGTGCTGGTGTGCCCCTTCTCACTGAAGACATGCAGGCACTGACCCTCCGCACACTGGCCGCTAGCGACGTCACCAAGCACTACGAGCTGGTCCGAGAGCTGGGTAAAGGAACCTATGGAAAGGTTGACCTGGTGGCCCACAAGGGCACAGGTAAGTGTCTGCAGGGTGACAGGATTTTAAGAGCGGGGTGGGGGAACATGGTTGGCATTCCAGCTTGCCTCTCTGGTGCTTTCTGGGGAGGCCAGCAGGCTAGCAAGGAGGCTGAGTCAGTGGCCCAGGTGGAGAGGGTGGGGCCTAAAGAGGCCCAGGCAGGCAGGGACTGGGCAGATGGGACAAGGGAAGAATTTGGGGCCAAATGGAGTGCCCAGACTGGAGGGGACTGCTTTGGGGTCATCTGAAGCACCCTTGCAACACCCAAGGGGATGCACCCAGGGACCTCTGGAGCTCTGAGGAGAGAGCAGGGCTGGTGGTTATATATTGGTGATAGCTGACCCCAGGGAGGTGGACAGAGAGCTGTGGGGGGGGGGTCCTCAGGAACAGGGCAGCACACTTAAAGGGTGCTGGGAGATGAACCTGTGAGATCAGTATGGCCATCTCCATTTCTCAGATGAGGACACCAAGACCCATACAGGTTCAGTCACCTAGCCAAGGTCATGCAGGTACAGAGAGTTTGAACTAGGATGAGACCCAGTAGTCAACTCTAGAAACTTCTTGCTTAGCCACTGAGCTTGGTGCCTCCCTTACACCGTGGGCTCACAGTGGTGCCCACCCTGCCAGTTGGGCGGGGGCTGCGTGAGCTCCCACAGCTGCGCCAACTGAGGGCAGCAGGAGGAACACTGGCCATGGGGTCACCTGAGCTTTGCTACCTGCTTGCTATGTGACCCTGGGCAAGGGACTTAACCTCTCTGCCTCAGTTTCCTCTTCTGTAAAATAGGGTAACATTAGTGTCCGCCCCATAGGGTCATTATGAAGCATGAGTTGTGAGTGGGAAGTGCAGAAGGCAGGGCCCGCGATGTGTGAGTGCCCTGTGGACACACGCATGTGCATCACACAACTCGCACAGGTGGGTACAGACGCCTGCCCAAGCACAGAGGTGGGGGCGTGGGCCTCGCAGCGTCTCCTTTCTTCTTATCCATCCAACCATATAACCAACATCTGCTGAGCACCTACTGTGTGCCACACTCTGAAGACACAGCAAGAAACAAGACAGAGGTTCCTGGGCTGGGGGAGACAGACAAGATAAACAAGTGTATAGTGTGGCAGGAGAAAATGGGAGCAGGCAGAAAATGGGCCACCAGGCCCTCCCCAATGCCCACCTCATGGAGGCTACAGATGGGCTGTAGAAGACCCTGGCGGGTCCCGCTTTGCTGCATGGCCTTTGTCAAGTCCCTTCCCCTCTCTGGGTCTGTTTCCCATCTGTAAGATGAGGGCAGTCATGCTGGCTGGGGGCCCCATTGTGCTTTGTCGCTGGGACAGGCCATGCAGACAGTCATGGGTATGTGTCAGGTGCAGGGACGCATGGGGAGGGGGCTTCACCACCATTGCTGTTGCCACTGTCAGGCACGAAAATGGCCCTGAAGTTTGTGAACAAGAGCAAAACCAAGCTGAAGAACTTCCTGCGGGAGGTGAGCGTCACCAACAGCCTCTCCTCCAGCCCCTTCATCATCAAGGTCTTCGACGTGGTCTTTGAGACGGAGGACTGCTACGTCTTCGCCCAGGAGTACGCGCCCGCTGGGGACCTGTTTGACATCATCCCTCCCCAGGTACTTGGGATGGTGGCATAGGGAAGGGAGATGGTCTTTCGGGTCCCCAGAGTGTGAGAGTGGGGAAGAAGTCAGACCATTTAATCAACAAGTATTTATTGAGCACCTACTGTATGTCTGTCACTGTTTGGGGGCTGGGGATGCACAGTGAAGACGACAAAGGTCGTGCCCTGGTTCTAGTGGGGACACTCCACAGTCAGCCAGATAATGACAGATTGAGATAAGCGCTCTGCAGGAACAGCTGGAGTGACAGGGTACAGTTCAACAGCACCCTCCTTGAGCTGCCTAGAGGTGTCAGGTCCACCTGGGAAGGCGGCTTCAGAGGAGGGACCCTGGAGCCTGGAGAGCGGGGGAAGAAGGGGAGGATACCAGGCACTAGGTTTGAATCTGCTCTGCCACTTGGTAGCTAAGTGACAAGACTTTCCAGAGCCTCAATGTCCCTATAGGGAAAATGGGCACAGTAGCTAGCCACCAACTTTGACGGTCTGATGAGACTGTGCAGGAAGGGGTTTGCTGCAGTTGTTGGGGAAAGGATTGCAGGAGAAAACTGCCTGGCCAGGGGGAGCAGGAGGGGTGCCCAGGTGGGATGGGTGGCGGAGAGCGGCTGGCACCGGTATCGGGGCAGGGTGGGCCACGCGGAGCACGTGGTGGGGCCTGGACTGAGTAGGACCTGGGGAGGGGCGGTGGGGCATGGGCGAGCACGTTGGCCCTGAGCGCGGCTCTGCCCCGGGCCACCGCAGGTGGGGCTCCCCGAAGACACGGTGAAGCGCTGCGTGCAGCAGCTGGGCCTGGCGCTGGACTTCATGCACGGGCGGCAGCTGGTGCACCGCGACATCAAGCCGGAGAACGTGCTGCTGTTCGACCGTGAGTGTCGCCGCGTGAAGCTGGCCGACTTCGGTATGACGCGCCGCGTGGGCTGCCGCGTGAAGCGTGTCAGCGGCACGATCCCCT